GTTGTGACAACCATCAATTTTTGGTCAGCTCAAAGTCAAACCAAGTCAACGAGTCAAGCCGATAAACTCAACTAGTGCTTGTATGATAAGGCTTACTCTATGTTTACTATTGTACAACTCTCTATATAAATAAAAAAGTGTCACTCAGAAGTTTCAAATGTTCAAAAATTCTAAACCCTAACCAGGGTGAGTGATGTAACGGCTCTATAAAGCACTATTATGTACCCCCTCGGGGGCGTAGAACACTCATAACAAGGTATATTAGGATTTCAAACCCTGCAATACGGGGCCAAACACTAACAAAGGTTACAAACAAAGTCTCTCTCAATCTCTCTCCATATATCTCTCTGTCTCCTAAATCTCTCCCAAATCTCTCTCAAAATCTCTTTCAACTTTTTAGACACACCCGGGTCATCCCGACCCTTCAATTAATCAAAAACCACTTAAAATGGGAAGATTTTATGGAAAACAGCACTCCGAATGCGAAACCACCCTAAACTGCGAAACCCTAGCTCGCACCTTCAGCTTCAAGTTCGCATCTTCAACATTTACACCTTCAACTTCAGGTTTGCATCTTCAACATTCGCACCTTCAGCTTCAGGTTCACATCTTCAACATTCACACCTTGAGCTTGAGGTTCGCATCTTCAGCATTCGCACCTTCAGCTTCAGGTTCGCATCTTCAGCATTCGCACCTTCAACTTCAGGTTCGCATCTTTAGCATTCACACCTTCAGGTTCAGGTTCGCAGTTTCCTTCCCGGTTTTGACTACTTTCTTATTTTAAGCCTATTTTTTATGTTTTTGACGTGGGAAATTCACAAAATTCGTATTTTCAGCATTTTAAACCTTCCAAACTCATATCTATCTACATCTTGGAGATTTATTAAACATAAATCTTATAGTTTGCTCAAATAATATCTAAAAGTACTCTTTGACTTTGCCATAAAGTTATGAAACCAAGCCATCCCCACATCAACTCTATGTCACTATTCACACTCTACCTAGTCAAATCATTATCCTTTCCAACTTTTCCCAACACTCCATCAGATTTCCTTAGTCAAATCTACTCAAATAAGTCTTTATTCTTCACATTTCCAAAATCTCATTTGCCTTCACCCAAAGCCAACTTATTTTCTCTTACTCCCTCTCTCTGGAACTCAAATTCCCGAGGAGGTCTCGAGCTTTTCCTCCATTTTGGGTAAGTATCCTCATTCTACTCCTAAATAGTCTACACTTCTTCATACAAATCATGGATCATTTACATAAATATCGACATATTTGTTCTTAGGATCTTCAAATCATCAAGCATCCTTCAAGTGTTCTTGACTCGAAACTCTCCTTCTTCAACCTTCCACCTAAGGAAATCACTCAAGGTGAGTTCATACCCCTATCTTTTCATGTTTTCTTCAAGTTTTAAGGGGGAGAATACAAGCTACAACACTAAAAAAACACTCTAACTCAACCAACAACTTTCAATAGAAAAGTTATGGGCTATTTACAAACTATTTTGACCATCTTAAACTTAATATATTTCAAAACTGTTTAATATATAGGTTTATACCTTTTTAATGACTACTTGCACACGTTCATACGATTTTTCTATAATTTATGGCGATTTTTACAAAACTGCCTATCATTTCAGAAGTGAATTCAGACCAGTCTGTGAATATGGACATTTTCACACTGGTTAGAGACCACTAAAATCCATAATAAAAATTATGAACAAACTGGACCAATTTTCTGAACTTCCAGAGTTTACGGATTTAGTTTTTAACTTTCAGTGATTTTTGTGATTTTTCTAAAAACAGTGACAGAAAAGTTAAAACTAGTAAAAACAGTTTACAAGTTTATTAAAACTTTATAACATGTTGAACAAATTGTATAACAATAAATAGTTATATCTTGATTGTATTTCATGATTATAATACTTTCATGAAATAAAAATAGTCATTCATCATAAGGATTTTCATTCACTACAAACATATATGATAAACTATAATAGGTATAGTTTATGGTTTGTTACACTACAACCTCACTATGAAAGGTTCCATTTACACTAGAAAAAGGGTTTTCATTCACTAAAAACATATATGATAAACTATAATAAGTATAGTTTATGGTACATTAACACTACGAACATACTAAGGAAGGTTCAATTTACACTACAAAAAGGGTTTTCATTTACACTACACGTAAACTCGTTGAACCAAATTTGTGAGACATTACTTCAATGTATTCTTTAAAGTACTAATGAAAGTCTTGTATCTCCTGTAGGGAGAGCGTGATACTTGTATATAGATCTATATTGAGACTGACAATCCCGCACCTTTGCTACTTGAAATAGCTAGACCGATAGGTTTGGGGTGACAAATGTCAAAACATTTCGATGCCCGAAGTAAGTCGTAACAGGATTACAATGTCAATTGTACGGTTATAATAACTCACATAGGGAAACAACGACACATATAGTTTATGGGGATTATTACATTTAAAAGGGTTTTATTTATTTAAAACTGTACATACTATCATAAGTATGGTAAATATTGGTACATTTCAGTCTTTGAGTCTTAAGACTACAACTCATTTTATAAGGAAAATATTGGATTCCTTGAACATACACTACATTCACAAAAAAGGTTTTCAACTCTATATACAAAGCTTATGCACTCACCAACTTAATTGTTGGCACTCTTTTAAAATTTCTTGTATTCTCATGTAATCAATAAAAACAGGTAACTACCAACTTTTGAGGATGGAACACTACGACGTCATACAAACTCTTTTATCATTATATTGTAATCGATTTTGAAACATGTAACTCATGTAACCATGTAACTTTCTCGATTATATTTATGATAGTTGTGTTTACTTTGATCACTATTATATTCGTTGTTATGATACTATACATGCAGTCTTCCACCCTTGGACGTTTCCAACATTCTTGGTTTGGGGGTGTGACATTAGTCCCTTGTATTTTTTATACTATCAGTATCCCTATATGTATGGGATGGATACATTAGAGGTTAAGAAGGAACATTAACTTTTGTAATCATTTTCTCTGATCCTCTTATATTCTCTGATAAGCAATACAACGAGCCAACCAAATTTTATTTAAATGTTGTGTCTAATTCTATTCTTACTCTGATTACGTTTCAATACTCGATACAATCGTCACCACAGTCACTCCTATTTGCCAACACCGTTTTCCTTTGTCACCATGTCTGCTTCATTTTGCGGCCCCATATCGCCACTTCATGTTTCCTTTTTATCTCTATCTTCTATCTATTTCTTCCAAACACCTTCTCATGCTTCTCTCTTAACGATAAATGTTCTAGTTTTGTGTCACAACCCAAACCAGGATGACGGAAACGTCCGGGGGTGGGATGACTTTCATGTGTTGTATCATAACAATTGAATAACAGTAAAGAAAGAAAACACCATCATATATATAATTGAAAAGTTACATCATTACAAGTATTACATGTTTCAAAAGTCAATTACAATATGATGTGAAAATGTTTTGTTTAATTCCATAGCGTCAATTCTCAAAAGATGGTGATTACTTGTTTTACCGATTACCTGAGAATAAAAGTTGTTTGAAAAAGTGTCAACAATTAAGTTGGTGAGTCCATAAAAGTATATATGAAAATAGTAAAACTTTCTATGAAACGATGCAGTGTTTGGTTTTAGAAAATCCGATATTTTTTTTTAATGAATGTAATGTAAACCATTTTCTTGTGAAATGATAGTGTTTATCCTAGAGAATCCAATATTTTCTAATAAATGTAGAGTAGTCTTAAATGTCAAAACTAAAATGTATATAATCCGTTAACTTGTAAAATGATAGTGTTTATCCCATAAAATCTGATATTTTCCAATAAATGTGATGTAGTCTTAAATGGAAAGACCAAATTGTACCAGTGTTTTCCACACTTGAAGTGTTAATATGTAGTTTTATTCATGTATAAAACCATTTGAAGAAAGATGTTTTCGTGTAAACTGTATGTATAGTCGTTTTCCCATGTGAGTTTTTATAACTGTGCTTTTAAGATGCGGTGTCTGCCTCGTCGTTCTTCAGGCGCCAAGATATTTATGACATTTGTCATCCATAACCTGCCGGTCTGGCTGTAGCTAATAACCAGGGTGTGGGATCATCAGTCCCGTATATGTCTATACACAACTATCACGCTCTCGTATCAGGGATTCTAGTTATAAATGCAGGACTTTCGTGTATACCTCAGTTAGGTACGATGAAGACAATGCCTCACAAATTTATTCGACGAGTGTACATGTTTTTGAAATGAAAACGTTTGTATACGAAATTATCCCAACATTCCAAGATAGTATCGAAATGTTGTAAAACAATGATATATGAACTTTATAAAATTTTTACCATTTGCTCAACAGGTTACAAATGGTTAAAGTTTTGTATAAAGTTTTACGAAATAAACGTTTTGTATTGGAAATATATATATATATATATATATATATATATATATATATATATATATATATATATATATATATATATATATATATATATATATATAGGAGTAGGATCAAATGAGAACACCTAAAATGTTGAGAACGCAAGAACAGATCTGGACCATCTGATTTTTAAGATGTGTGGCTATAATTAATTGTTATTTTTATAATTATTAATACATTTAAATTTTAAATTTTAAATTAAAGAAAATTATAAAGGCTATTAAGGTAAATAAGCATTACCCTAATTTTGTAAGCTCCTATAATTACTCTCTGCCTCTCTATTTCTTGACCTAATCTCATAGAACATTAAATCGACATCTTCAACATATCACCGCCTCATCCCTACGCCACCATGCTTATATTATCATCATCAAACCTCGCCATCACCAAAACCCTCTGAGGCTTCAACGCCAAATCAGCCTCCGACAACTCGATCTTCAATTGTTCTCCTACAACTCGATTTTAGTTCAACGGTATTCATTGGGGATTCTAGACCTGCATCCTTGAATCCGATGAAACAGAAGCGGAAGGGAAGAGAAGATGATGGTGAAGATGACTGCATTGAAGAAGAACGGAGAAGGAGCAAGAAATACAAAGGGGACGAAGAGAACGGCGGGAGCAGGAGAGACGTAGACAGAGACTGTGACCATGGTTGTAGTCGTAGCCATTAGGAAAGGTCTTCCCGGTCGGAACATGACATAAGTAGTGGTAGGGATGGAGAGAGAAACTTCGAGAGTGACATATCATCTTTGGTCTTCGAAGACGAACCATTCTTGGTGTCAGATTCGTCTTCTATCTTCTCCAAGTATTCGTACTCATCGAAGTCCATTATTTCACTTGTAGTCGTTCCTTAAGTCCTAGATTAGGGCTTTGGAGGATCGAATTCGATCGGTGAAGCTGGTGTGGATTCTTGGACATAGATGATGGGTACGAAAGTGTGAACCCTAACTTCTGCAGTCTACTACATCTTTCTTATCTTTAAGTCTCCTGCTCTCTCTTGATGACTACATCTTTCTTATCTTTAAGTCTCCTGCTCTCTCTTGATAAATACATTTAGAATGTGTATTTATTTATGAATGTGTGATTATTTGGACAAATCATGAAATGTATTAGGAATATTACTAGATTAGATGATCCTTCCTTATTGTCAAATAATAAGTGTTGAAGATAAAAGAAAGATCTCCTGGAACTTATTTGCTTTTGAGAGAATATGGAGTTTGAGAGAAATGTGGTGGAGTTTGTTTACTGAGAATGGGTTTGTAAATGTATCAATCCTGTGTATTATATATGAAAGGAAGGATAAAGTTTTGAGTTAATGTTTTCCTTGGTTTGTGCAATTATCATATTGGGAAAACAAATCAAGTGGTAACACAAGTTCCCAAGTGGGTAATCTCTGTAGGATTTAAAATATCTTTATTATTCTTATGTAAATGTGCTTTAAAGGCTCCAATTTTAGCATAAACTAGGAGTCTAGAGGGTCTAAGTTAGGAAAAATATGAGTTTGAAGGAATTATCGACGTCAAAATCCCTTAAAATGAAGAAAAGGTCCAAAGTGGTAAAAATGTGAAGTTGGTCCGAAGTCACACAATCATTTCCGGAGTCAAATGGTGAATTCTGAAGCTAATCTTCAAGTTCCAGAGTCAAATTAGCTAATTCTGAAGTTATCCTTCTTGGTCCGGAGTTGAATAGAGGTGCCGAAGTGGGTTTTCATGTTCCAGAGTCGAATCTTGATGTTCCGAAGTGGCCTGTAGTTTCGAAGTGAAGCAAATATTTCTAAAATGAGTTTAAGTCAAGCAGGTTCCAGAATCATCCAACCCTTTCCGAAGTTTGCTTTCCATTTCCTGAGTCAACCTTCTAGTTCCGAAGTGGGCTTGTTCTTTTGAGTTTTCTAATCCCGTTTTGGGATGTTTTCAACAAAGGAAGGGATAGAATGATGTTTGTGTCTATGGGAAAGGTTGAAAGAGGTTTGAGAGAGATCGAAGATAGATTTGGGAGAGATTTGAGAGGGAGAGAGAGTTAGAGAGAAAGAGATTTTATTTGCAGGCTGTGTTATGGTTTTGTCCCGTAGTGTTAACATTATGAACTTCACTATGTCTCGTTATGAATGTTACTCATCTTCGACGGATAGGTAATTGGAATATTCAAGTTATTACATTACTCACCTTATTTAGGGTTTAGATTCTTTTGAACATATGAAACTTCCGAGTGGTGTTTTGTATTATAATAGTACGTTGTACCTTAGGAAACATAACGTAAACCCTAACATACTAGTATAAGTTGAGTTGACTAGGTTGACTGTTGTCACATTTTAAAGTGCACAAACCTTCAAAATCGACATGTTTATAGGTCCATCTTTATTCACGATTGAATATAAGGGTTATTATCAAGCTTCTTGCAACCTCCTTCATTTCAAGGTTTGTATCCAGGTAGTTATTCTTTGGTTTACCTTAATCTTAATATTAAATAACAATGACAATGTCCCCTCATAAGGCATCTTTTATTTGCTTTTACTATGTAGAATGAAAAAGGCTAAATCTAGATTATGTTACAAATTTTACAAAAATATAATACAATATGTAAAATAAGCATCTCTATGGAAATAATGACTATTTACATTGTTCTCCTAAATAGATTTTGATTTAATAGGTTTTTATCGTTCATAATTTTAAAGTTAGATTATTGGTATTCTTTAAGTTGTAATTTTGTCCCCTTATTATATTTTAAAGTTACATTCATTTACATAATTTCTTTTATAATTTTTGTTTTTATTAATTTCCTTAAGATATACTTCCAAGCTTTATTTTTTTATGTCTTCTCCGTATATAATTGTTTTGATTGAACTTTATTTTGACACTTTTATAGTCTACTTGATATGGTATAATCGTCACCGTGCTATACGTTGATTGTTAATATTTGCAAATGACAACCTATACAAATATCAAATAAGTTATCTCAAGCATTAAAATTACGTTGTTGTTGTTGTTGTTTTTTTTTTTTTTTTTGCAATTTACATAATTGTTATTTATATTTTTCATTTCATAAAGTTTTTTCTCCTTAACTAACCATTTTTATCATAATTAACATCAATGTAATATTAAAAAACAAAATTGTAGGCAAGAGTAGATTTGTAGTCGTCAATATCTCTTACAAAGTCATATTTTGGTCTTTTTCGAATCATAACTATTAATACAAGGGTTTTTCTTTAACCTAAATAACAATATAAGGGTTTTCCTAAATATACATGTATAATTAGTTGCGTTTTTCTGCAATATCTCTATATTTGAAGTATGGATGTAAATGAGTCGAGCCGAACTTCACATTAATCGAGCTAGGCTTGTTTAAAATTACTGAAGCTTGAGCTCATTAAGATTCTGGAGGCTCGAGCTCGTGAAACATATATGAAGCTCGGAATTGGCTCGTTAAGGCTCATTAAGGTTCGTTTTTCCGTAAAACTCGTTAAAGATCGGGATCGACTCGTTATTTTTTTATATCATATTAATATATAAGTAATAAATAATAATATATAAAATAATAGTATATTATACAAAAGCTTGTTTAAGCTCGCGAGCTTAAACGAACCTTAAGTGTAGGCTCAACATAAGACTCGTTTGTTAAATGAGCTTTATTCTAAAGTTCAGGTGCTAGAGCTCGTTAAGGCTAGGCTTGGTTCGTTTCAAACTTTTAATAATCCGATCCCGAATAACTCGCGAATAGCTCAACTATTTTACATCATCCTTAATTTTTAGGAAAATATATAGGCATTTACATAAGGCTATCCGGTATAGGAGGAGTTTTCACATGTGACGTCCAACGTGTCGCCCCTACCCATGAGTGAACACCACCCCAACGGGTAGTGGGTCTGTTGTGGCATGACTCCGGCCACGGGAGAAGACGATTGATTTGATTGGGTGATGTTTTTTGATCCTCTGCTCTCTTTTTGGTCCTTCTTAATTCGCTCTCTTTCTTTTTCTCTGTTTCCATCTGGTTATTCCCCCTTCTCATGTGAGAGTTTTTCTTGTTCTTCATGGTCAACACAGGCATGGAAACAAAGAGGGAAAGGTTTTAGGGTTCCTGGGTTTAATGAAATAAGAAAGAAAAGGTATGAGTCCAACTCAAAAGAATCTCATGCCCAAATTTTAGTTTTTGATACAAAAGGCCCTTAAGTCTCATCTTTTTACATTAGTAGTTTTTCAATTTATAATATAAGGTTTTAGTGTAATTTTTCTATTAATAAATGTTTAGTCAAGTTTAAAATTCTTTTTTATTTAATGAAATGTGGTTTTATTTTTTTATGTTATTAAAAAATTTATTTATGTTATAAATTATGTTTTCTAATTAATATAATGTAAAAAAAAGAATATTGTAGATTGATAACCATTTTCAATATCTAGTGGATTGGTGGTGAAACGGATATGATGCAAAGATGACAACACTTTTTAGATGGGTTGGTGGGACGATTCCATAGCCTAGTTTATAATAATAATAATAATAATAATAATAATAATAATAATAAGGGTTAGTTAAAAAGACACCTTATTTTACCATTTAGATAACCTAAAAAATACAAAAACCTAGTAAAGCTAAGCTTTTAATGGCGTCCGTTTTAATGGGAATCAAAGAAGATATTTATGGTGACCAATCCGACGCCTCTCTCACACGCACAATCACCTCAGAACACACACTGCTCTTCATTCAAAACGGGAGCACAGAAACTGTTGCCGACACACATTAAATCCCACCAAATCCGTTAGGTAATGGATCCAAAAAAACCATCCATTCTCCCTCTTCCAACTCGAATACTAACAGTTTTCTGTATAATTTATGTGTTTTTCTTACAGAATTCCAATTAACACGAGACCTGTGTTTGTTAGTTCTTCCTCTTCCGCCTCTCAGATTCATCTTCATTCTTCAGTAAGCTGTCACAACTTATTTACCGAGAATCTTCGGAAAGTGTTGTGAAGAATCAATTGTGATTAAGACTAGATTAGCAAAGGGGATTTGGGGCAGAATTCGGGAGTGAAGATGGGTGTCGTTAGCACAATTATGGGGGCATTTGGTTTCGGAATTGGAGTTCCAACTGGGCTTGTGATTGGGTACTACTTGTTCATTTACTACCAACCAACTCATGTTGAGGTTAGTATAATCGTACTATCTTCTTCATCTTCTTCGATCTTTCTTTCTGTAATTTGTATGATTCTTTTCATGGTAATTGTCGACACTCTACAAAGTCAACTAATACGTTTTAGTTTGGGTTTTATTTGTATTTGGTTTTGTAGTTATAGGATTTTCGATCTAATTTCTAAATTAATTCTCAAATAAGGATTGAAATGTCCTTTTTATCAATTCTTTTCTCAATTTCTACCGAAAGGTCGAGTCAATTTTAGGACCAACAGATAGGAAATATCTTTTAAACCTATAAGTTTTGTGCCATTAACATAAATTAGGAAAAATCATAAATTGATAAAATGAAAAAAGATAATTATAAAAATGAACACATCACTATAGTAGATAAATTGTATTTTTGTATAATATATATGTCACTTGTACGGACATTTAACTTTTGACTAAAGTATCAGTAAAAAAAACACTTTCTTGAAATTGGAGACTTGATTTATTTTGGACACTTCTTAAAATTGAAACAGTAAAACAAATGAAATCTAACATAAAAAATAAAAATTATTTTTGTCAAATGCGATTATTATTGAATTTGATGCATATAATTTTTAGAATTTTAATTTTTTTTTTTTCTGTTTGTCATTTTCTTGTGATTTTTATTTTCTTAAATTTAAAGTCTACATTTTACTAAGAACTTATATATATAAAGTAAATCATTCTATTAAATTTCAGAATAAATGTTCTATTATAGTTTATTTCCTTCCCATTTCAAATCAACTAGAATTGAAATTAAAGCTTAAATCACTAATATCAAGCATCCAATTGATTTTATCATTTCAACTTTATACTAAACTTTTATTTTTAATAACATGTGTAATATACAGGTCTCACACTCATAGTTAATCAATAAATAATAATATTTTTTACATTGACAAAGAAAAAGGTCAAATCACAAAAAATATTATTAATAATTAAAAGAAACAAACTTACTTTTTTTAGATTTACATGACTACAATGTTTGAAAAATTATATTTTGTATTAAATTAGTTTTGTTTTTGTATTAAATTAGTTTTGTTTCGGCACTAGCTTCATATTATATCAAAAGCAAAAGGATAAATAAATTTGGGATTACACATTTCAGACCAGGTAAATAAAGATGTTTCAAGTCCAAAATGCTTCATTTTTTTACTGAAATTTAACAAAAGTCAAAAGATTTAGTGATTTACCAATACCAAATTAGATTCAACATAAAAAGTATGTCATTTAGTTTGAAATAAAAACAGTGATAGTAAACCTTTTGGATTTAAGAAGCACAAGAAGAGATTTTTTTTTTTTTTTTTTTCAAATTGTTAGGTGAAAATGCAATCAAACTCTACATTTTATATATCAAGTCAATTAAATATTAATTACTCATTGTGTGTTTTTGTTACTTGAATATCAAAGACTCCAAAAGTACGACCGTTAGTTGAACGAGATACAAAATCCCTTGAACAGATGCTTCCGGAAATTCCAATGTGGGTCAAAAATCCTGACCATGACCGGGTATGTATGCTTCTCTTCAATATGATATATGAATCTAATATTGCATTCCCCATTCAAAATGTAACGTCAAGTTATTTATCTGACAACTGATAAATAACTTGAATCGTTGAAAGAATAATCTGATAAATAACTTAAATCAAGTTATTTATCAGATTATTCTTTCATATCTAAGATCCAAAAGTAACTTGTTTGATTGTATACAGGTTGATTGGCTCAACAAATTTATCGAGCTAATGTGGCCATATCTAGATAAGGTAGTGAATTTGTTTATGATTTTAATCCATGGTATACAATTTTATCCACGAATAACCAAATACATTTTTTTTTTCTTTTTTCTTGTAGGCGATTTGCAAGACTGTGAAGACTATAGCAGAACCGATCATAAAAGAGCAGATTCCAAAGTACAAAATAGACGCAGTCGAATTTGATACACTTACATTAGGCAACCTACCACCCACATTTCAAGGTTCTTAACAGTAGGAAACATTCAGAGTTTTGAATTTTTATTTTTATTTTACTCGTAAAAATTGATTTATTTACTTTAATATTTTATGGTCGTGTCTTTTTTTACAGGAATGAAAGTTTATTCTACGGATGACAAGGAGTTAATAATGGAACCATCATTTAAATGGGCTGCTAATCCCAACATTCATGTTGCTGTTAAGGCCTTCGGGTTGAGACCCACTGTTCAGGTATCCATAATTCCACTGTATTCCACATGGATTATTATTAAACTGTAACTTAACTTGACTAATGGATATTAAATTATAAAAAATCGTAATTTTTTATTCCATTCAAAATGGTAAAAAGACATAAATACCCGCTAAGCTTTGTTATTTTCTCAGGTGGTGGACTTGCAGGTATTTGCTTCACCTCGTATCACCTTAAAGCCATTAGTTCCGAGCTTCCCTTGCTTCTGTCAAATTCTCGTGTCTCTCATGGAGAAGGTAGCCCTTAACCATAAACCCTAAACCCTAGTAGTTATATCCATTCGTTCATGACTCATTATTATTAAAGGCGTTAATTTTAGCGATTCATGTGTAATTATTTCATGATTTAACACCTCAAAACTCAATGGAATGAAAGTATTATTCCCAAATTGAACACATTAGCGATTCGTGTGTAATTATTTATCTTCAAATTTTCAGCCTCACGTTGATTTCGGACTAAAACTTCTCGGAGCCGATTTGATGTCCATCCCTGGCTTGTACAGATTCGTTCAGGAATTTATCAAAACCCAGGTCGCAAACATGTATCTGTGGCCGAAAACACTCGTCGTACCAGTACTCGATCCTGCAAAGTAAGTATCAATCGTATTATCTGATATGATCGATTCGAATTGTTTTTGTTGATTTGAACGAATTTATGTATGAAATTGTCAGAGCGATGAAGAGGCCAGTTGGAATGCTGAATGTGAAGGTTTTGAGGGCGATGAAACTGAAAAAGAAGGATATTTTGGGTGCTTCGGACCCTTATGTGAAACTGAAGCTCACCGAAGATAAGCTTCCCTCCAAGAAAACCGTTGTCAAACACAAAAACCTTAATCCGGAATGGAATGAGGAGTTCCATTTTGTTGTGAAAGATCCGGAATCACAAGCGCTTGAGATGATCGTATATGACTGGGAACAGGTACTTTGAATGTTATAATCCGGTAGATTTTACAAACTCCAAACAGAAATATAATTTTGACTTTTGTGGTCAAACAAAAACCGGATGTTGTAGGTGGGGAAACATGACAAGATGGGGATGAATGTTATACCACTAAAAGAAATAACACCGGAAGAACCAAAAGTTATGACTCTTGAGCTTCTAAAAAACATGGACCCAAACGACACACAAAACGAAAAATCTCGAGGTCAAATCATGATTGAATTGGTGTATAAGCCTTTCACAGACGATCAAATCCCGGCTGAAAGTAAAGATGGAGAAGTGATCGAGAAGGCTCCAGAAGGAACCCCAGAAGGCGGAGGTTTGCTTGTTGTTATAATCCATCAAGCCGAAGATCTTGAAGGCAAACATCATACGAATCCATCTGTTCGTATGCTTTTCAGAGGAGAAGAGAAAAGAACAAAGGTAATTTTCCATTTTATAACAACAAGGGTAAATTCGTCATTTTACTATGACTTGGGATGAAGAATTTTATATGATATGTAGCCTGTGAAGAAAAACCGTGATCCGAGATGGGATGAGGAGTTTTCATTTACTTTAGAAGAGCCACCAACAAACGACAGGATGCATTTTGAAGTCGTGAGTACGTCTTCAAGGATGGGTTTAATTCATCCCAAGGTATAAACTATAAAGAAATAATCAATCTTCTTATGATTTGACCTAGAAAGATGAATTTTTGACATAATATGTATATATTTTTTTTCTAGGAAACATTGGGTTATGTGGATATACAACTTGGGGATGTGGTGAGTAACAAGAGAATCAATGGAAAGTACAACTTAATTGATTCGAGGAATGGTAAGCTTCAAGTGGAGTTGCAATGGAGAACATCATCTTAAAGAAGGGTAAAATTGTCTTTTGAGAAGAAAGAATTTGAACATATGGACTTTTTAAGATTATATCATCATCGAGTTAAATGTTTGATGGTATTTGTCGTGTTGTCATTTGACTTTGGGCTTTCAAGTGTGTAAGTTATGTCTAATAAATGAAACGTTTTATGGGTTATTTTATTATTAAAGTACAGATTATTAGTGACTCGTTTAAGCTTTAGTTCTTATGATAATAGTAGTCTCTACTTTGGTGTTTACTTAAGATCTTATCTCTAAATATTTTCGCATCAACATGTTACATGCTAGTAGTAATTATAATCATATATCTTAAATGGAGTCAATTTAACTTATACTTTTCTAATTGAATGCTTAAATGCATCAAGATTTGTGCACATCGAATATGGCTTTCAGCAAAATTCTATATGTATCTATGAGATCAAGTATGAAATTATGTTTACTCACTTTAAATTCGGTATCCGTTTTCCTCCTTTTCCTACTAGGATTGGAAATCATGTATTTTATATATCCATACGATTGAGTCATTGGGTTTCCAAAATAGTGTAAAAATTGTGCTTCAAATCATTGCTATTTAACTCGGACCTGTTTTAAAAAGTCGAGGTATTTTGAATTGTTTATTGACACGGACAAAATCAGGAAAAACTTTGAAATTTTTTTAATATTAACTAAATCTTTGAAAATTTTTCAATATTAAGTGTATTGTAAAAGCTATATTTTTATTCTAATATTATAGTCATTGAATATTAATCATAACTAAAACATGAATTATTTATAAACTTAAAAAAAACTATATTTTATTAGTTTGTTTTAGGTAGCATATTAGATTGTTGTGGTTGGGAGAAGACGAATGATGTAGGTGTTTTTTTGATTTTGTGCGATTCAAAATCAATTTCAGTTTCATTAAGTTTAGACTACATATGCTCCATCAATTTATGATAAACATTAAGTTACCTTTTGTAACTCTTACTAGTCCATGTTAGTGTGTCGGTTAAGCACACACGCTCCACCAACGACTTAGTAAGGTACAAAGTGTAATTTCATGGGTTAGCATCAAATTCATATTTTTCTAAAGTAACTAAGATCGGGTATTTATAAGTGTTTAGTTACTGTATATTTATCATTATGCTTTTAATGAAGGGAGAATCACAGTCCTATCCTACCTGTTCGGCTAACAACTCTCCACCAGTCAAGGAAAAAGTGGGTGAGAGTGGACACCCATTAAAATGTCATTTTATAGGCAGTAACCTTATACACCCTTATAGACTGGCTTCGTGAATGAGGCCTACTAACGATAAGATTGACTTTTACTCTTATAAATATATGTAAATATTAAACCTATAATATTATAATAGTATAAGGGTTGAACTTTAAACTATTTAAAATTCTAGGGTTTGGAACTAAAGTATTCAAAAGTGTAACTTTACAAATTCCAAAATTTGAGGGTAAGTTTTGAACAATTCAAAAAACTTTTGGAATCTATAACATATGAGTTTAATATGACTTCAATTGGTAAAACCCTTGAAAATCCATAACTTGAGGACAAGTTATGGATGTCATAAAACAATTTATGGGAAAAAACTCTTCAAATCCAAAACTCATGACTTTTAAAGATTCATTAACAAACAAGACTTTTGGTTTTCCATAACTTGAGGACAAGTTATGGAATCCATTAAAGGTCATTTAGATCATCTAATAAACAAACAAACATGTCAAGAAAAACTATGATCTAGATTAAACTCATATAAACATGACAATTCAAATCAAACAATCTTCATGTGATTAGCCTAACTATTAAACTAATACAAAACATGAAACTTTTGACAATTATCTTTAGAATTGGATCAACATGATCATTACCACATCTTTATAAGTTCAAAAACAGCTTAGGGTAATGATCCTAGTCCAATTCCAGCCAAAAACATCGAAAATCTGCACTCAGAGGCTCCAACTCGTCGAGTGTAAGAACAAACTTGGCGAGTTGGATATATTTTGCCTTAGACTCGGCGAGTCCACTGTTCAGAAAGCCAGTTTTTCGATTTTTCTAGCAATTGCATGAAGTATAATTGAAAACCAAGCTTAGGCTTTGATACCACTGATGAGTTTTGAGAATTCTAACACTCATATGGTGTGCATACAACCCTATGTGCATTGGATCTATGTTTTCACTATTATACATGCAAATATAAAAAATTCCAAAGCATCATCCTTACTAGCATATTATGTGTAACATCCCGTATATTAAATAAATAAATAGATAAGGGTTAATATGAGTAGAAACCTTAAAATAATTAATAATAAGTAAGGTATTGGTTTTGAGGAGTTAACCGTCATAATTTTAGAATTTGGGGTTAAAAAGCGTAAGTTCCGAATTGGTTTTGTGATTATTTTATAAAGGCGGGGGGGGGGGGGGGGGGTGCAATTGTAAATAATTTATAGAAAAGGGGTTTCTTGGTAATTTGGGGTTATTATGAAATGATATTATGGAGTTAGACGAAAAAGTGTAAATGATGGATTAATATTGAAGGAAATCTAGTGAGGAGGGACTAAAATTGTAAAGACCTGGAATGTTTAAAAGTGAGGCACGGGTTATACCCTGCACTCCTTCCTTGTCCTATAACCCTAAACCAAGAAGCATACTATAGCCACCACCCTCATGAGATCCTCACAACGGCACTTTCTTCCTGTTCGCTTTTCCGATCAAATGAAGCCTACAAACGGATACCTTGCCATTGTAACGCCGTCGCAACACCGCTGCCGGCCGGAGATGTCAAGGGCGGATGGAAGAACCCCCGAGATCAAGGTTGAAGATGGATTGTTATACGTGGGATGAGAGAGACTGGGAACCATCGGTAAGTTCGTTGCAACTTATCTTCTTCTCTCTCTCGTTGTAATCTGTAGGTACGTGCCGGAAACGTCAATGGCCGACGTCAGTAGCAGTGGGGCCACTGTGGGCTTTTTCTGACGACTCCTGTCGCCTAATCGGCGGCTTTATGGTTTCATATTCGTGTGGAATTGCTGATTTCCATGTTCATGGGGAATTTCACATGTGCATTTGGCAAGAAAAATCCACAATGGCTGCCAACCATGGTGGCTGTCGCTTCCTGCCATCGCATCACCGCCACCAGCCGCCATATGGTGGTGGTTGTGTGTATTTGTTGTGATGATTAAGAGTATGTCTTGTGAAATGGGACTTGTATTAGCATTTTTGGTGGAGGGATTAGGGGGAAAAACCACCACCACCGTAAATTGCCATTGACCACCACTACATGAGGTGGTAGTGGGTGGTGCTTGGCATAGTGAACCCTAATCGGCCCAAATGCTTGATCTGGACTAATTGGATGGAAAATTGGGCTAGAAACCTTAATTAGGGTTTAGAAAACCCTAATTTTGGGTTTGTGGGTTTGGACCTAGTGGGACCCACATTTGGACCAACATACTGGATTTATGACGCATGCCGACTCCATTGTTCAATGGCTTGGTGGAATAATGGCCTTAATGGGTTAAGTGAGAACACTTAACCCTAGTGATCATTTCATGTGAAAACCCTAATGTTGCTTGGGCCTTGAGTTTGGCCTTCCTTTTTGGGATTTGGTGATTGGGCTATTGATGGGCTTTAGGGTAAGTCCCACATGAGGGTTTGAGCCCAATGTGGGAAATTGGGCCATAGTTGGACCTTTAGTGGACATTTGTGGGTCCATTTGGTATTGGGCCTTGGTGACCCAATAGGCTTGAGTTAGTTATTGACCGGGTTGGTAGACCATATTTAGACCTAATATGTGAAGGTTGGTCTTAAATCCTAATGGGGTTAATTATGGGTTTGGCTCAGAGTTAGAGGCCGGAGTATATCAACAACATTTATAGGATCTGTTCACCAACCGAGGTGAGTCTTCTCATTATACTTAACTATGTGGTGATTTGTGTGTGACCGGAGGGTCTTATTCACACTATTGACCAGAGGGTCTCAGTACATATAAACCGGAGGGTCTTAGTACATTATTGACTGGAGGGTCTTAGTACATATAAACCGCAAGGGTCGTAGTACATTATCGACCGGAGGGTCTTACTTGTTAAAATGTGTTAACGTGCATATTATCTTTGTGAACTATGTTGTTATAGTAATATGTGTATATGTTGATCTTATGTGCATATACTGTGTATTGGGATATCCTGCTTATCTGTGTATTAAGATATTCTGCTTATTGTCTTGTAATATGTATGATGGGTTTTTTCTGAGTTACTGAGATGAGGGACCGAAGGGTCCATCTGAGTTGTGGGACCAGAGGGTCCCACTGAGACACATTGACCAGAGGGTCTTATTGAGTTATAGCCTCGAGTGGCTAATGATCTGTGTGTGGTATTTTGGGGAACTCACTAAGCTTTGTGCTTACCGTGTTATGTGTTTCAAATACTTCTCAGGATCACGGGAAGATGACGACTTGATTGTACACATGTGGTAACGTAACAAATGAATACATAGTAAAGAAAGCAATACAACCATCATATATATAATTGAAAGTTTACATTTGTCAAAAGTTACATGTTCAAAACCAATTACAATATGATGTCAAAATATGAGATTAAACTGGCGCCGCAGCATCCCTTCATCAAAAGCATAATGATACCTGTAGTTACTGAATCCCTGGGACATACAAGTAATTTTGAAAGAGTAGATCAGCATTTAAGCTGGTGAGTTTCATAAGTATTTAATGACAATGTTTGTATGAAATGAAATGTCTTGTCCTTGTTTGTTTGTGTTTAGAAAATCCTATATTTTCTACTAGTATAAAAGTAGTCTTCCTTCAAGACCAAAGTTTGTTTCCAGAAATGTATGTAAGTGTAAAAATAACCAATATGTTTGAAAACCTCGTAAATCAATGTATTTTTAATACCTCATGTGAGTTTTATAACCATACTATTGACTCGGAATGCCTATACACAACGTTCTTCAGGCGTTGGAATGTTATGACGTTTGTCACCCCAAATGGTGGACTGTAGCTAACAGTCAAGGCGTGGGTTGTCAAGCCCGTATAGATCTATACACAAACACCATGCTCCCCCTCCAAGGGATTCTGGTATATAATACAGGAGTTGAAATGTGTACTCGAACGTACGTGAAGTTAATGTCTCACAGAACTGTAGTATAAAAATAGATTTACGTGTTAAAATGTTCGTTTGCTCTTGTATATGAAAGTGATTTCTTGAAAATCGTGTTTCTAGTATGTAAAAGTTAGCAATATCCTCATAAAACTACACCTATTATAGTTTTCTAAAAGTGTGCCTCATTTGTTTTAGAATATCTAGAAAAGGAATCACTTGTTATGAAAGCATAGATTTTTGTAGAGCCTAAGATAGACACATATATATTAAATCTAGGAAAAATGTTTAGTTTATACATGCATTACAACAATTTATAGTTTTAAAGATAGAATGCTATTGTAATATATTTTGTATACGGGAGTTCCCTATAAAGTTTATAAATCACATATGATTCTACTTAATAAAAGTGTATAATAATCTTTATATATAACATCCGATAGTAGTCGTGTGTTTTACTTGTATTCCCCCCCCCCCTAGAAAGCATATAAAAGCGTTTAGAATATTTAAAAAGGGTTAATTAAGGGGTATGAACTCACCTGAAAGTTTGAAGATAGCGAGATGGAAAAACCGGGCAGAGTTTCGTCTCGGGAAACGGATTTTTCTCGGGATTCTCGGGAATCTCAGGAGTAAAATCGACCTTCGGGACTTGAGCAAAATGATCAGGGCTTCGGGGTAGTGCAGGCACGGAAATCGAGGCAATATCGTGAGAGAAATGAGAGAGATGGGGTGGATTTCCCGGAACCCTCGCATCTCTATTTATAGGAGGCTGAGAGGCCTCGTTACGTGGGGCGTACGCACATACGCTGGGCGTACGCGTACGTCATGCGTGACTGAGTCCTCGACTGCCTCGGAGCTCGGATGGGACGGGTCAGTGGTTCGCACAGGCGCGACGTGGACGATCAGAGGCCAAGGCCTTCGCATACGCGGGGCGTACGGGGTTACGCGGCGCGTAACTCGGATGAGTACGCTGACTCCCCCTTCGGATAATACCAGATTTTGATTTAAATAAATATATAATTTATTTAATAAACTTCAAAAATTCATATCTTCTTCATACGAACTCCGTTTTCGACGTTCTTTATATCCCTGCGAAGGTGAGACCATACTCTACAACTTTCGTTTAGATTCCATCGGCAAATTCCGAAATTATTTTTATTATTTATTTATAAAATGTCGTGATTAAGAAATTTCTTTAAACAATTCATAACTTCTTTATCTGACGTCGGTTTTTGCCATACTTTTTACCGCTGAAATACCATTGTCGAGACCTTCGATTCTTGTTTAGGTCATTCCGGCCAAAAGTCGCTCGATCTCCGATTCGAGTTTTTAGTTGTCTATTGCTAAGCCGAATTTGGAAAAATCTTAATTTCAATATACGAAGCCGGATTTGGGCATTCTTTTTATGTACGATCCCAGTTTAATGGTATAAAACATAGTAGGTAGTTAAATAGAAACTTTTTGGACATTTTATTATCAACGTTAATTTTATTAACTCAAAAGTGGTTACAATACTTGACCTATTAGGCCATTACAAAGAGTTGAAATATCGGGTTGTCACATCAATGGCCGATGTCAGTGGTAGTGGGGCCGCTGTGGGCATTTTTCGACGACTCCTGCCGCCTAGTCGGCGGCTGTATGGTTTCGTATTCGTGTGGAATTGATGATTTTTGTGTTCACGGGGAATTTCACGTGTGTATTTGGCAAGAAAAACTCGTGATGGCTGCTAACCATGGAGGCTGCCGCTTCCTCCCATCACATCACCACCACTAGCAGCCATATGGTGATGGCTATGTGTATTTGTTGTGATGATTAAGAGTATGTCTTGTGAAATGGGACTTGTCTTAGCATTTTTGGTGGAGGGATTGGGCGAAAAACCACCATCACCACTGTGAGGTGGTGGCCACCACCGTAAACCGCCATTAACCTCCACTACCTGAGGTGGTAGTGGGTGTTGCTAGTAATTTGGAAAGGTCCAATGTACCTTGGGTCTAGTTTTCCACGCTTCCTGAAGCGTATCATTGCCTTCCAGGGTGAGACCTTCAGTAGCACACGGTCACCAACCTGGAATTCCAAGGGTTTTCGTTGTTTGTCGGCATAGCTCTTTTGTCTATCTCTTGAGGCTTTCAGTCGCTCTCAAATTTGAACGATCTTTTCAGGCATTTCCCTAATGATTTCCAGACCAGTGAGAGTGCTATCAGGGACTAGACCTTTTTCCAACTGCGTGTCGCCTACTTCCACCCATCACAGAGGTGATTTACACTTACGGCCGTAAAGGGCTTCAAATGGAGTGATATTGATATTAGTATGATAAATGTTGTTATAATAGAACTTGACTAATGGTATGTAGATGTCCCACGCTTTACCAAAGTCGATTACACATGCTCGCAACATGTCTTGTAGTGTTTGGATCGTTCTATCACTATGCCCGTTAGTTTGTAGGTGATAGGTCATACTCATATCCAACCTTGTACCTAACGCCTTCTGCAGTGTCTGCCAGGACCTCGAAGTGAATCTACTATCTCTGTCTGAGATGATATATATCAGTACTCCATGAATTCGCACGATCTCTCGGATGTAGGTTCTTGTTAGTTTATCCATCTTATCGGTCTCTTTGATCGGATGGAAGTGAGCAAATTTGGTTAGCCTGTTGACGATCACCCAGATTGTATCATGACCACCCTTCATCTTGGGTAGCTTAGTTATGAAGTCCATTGAAATCTGCTCCCACTTCCACTTGGGTATTTCGGGTTGATAGAGTAGACCTGAGGGTTTCTGATGCTCTACTTTGATCTTGGCGCAAGTTAAGCACTTGCCCACATAGGCAGCAATTTATGCTTTCATATTTGGCCACCAGTGGAGTTGTTTAAGATCCAGATACATCTTATTCGACTCTGGGTGTACGGAGTATGGGGTCTTGTGTGCTTTGTCCATAACCCTTTCTCTGAACTCACCGAACTTTGGTGTCCAGATTCGAGTCATGAGGTAGCGAACTCCGTTACTCTTTATCTCAAGATTCTTGTCGATCCCTCTAAGTTTTTCACATGCCAAGTTTTTGGGTTTCAAG